GTTTGACCAGTGTAGCCAATGCGTCCTCGGAGCTTAGCCCGAGGCAACGTCACGGGACACCGCAGCGTAATTACATGTTATAAAACATACCACTCGCCAATTTTCAGTAGTATTTTTATAATTATTACTCGTACACTTTCCTTTTTATACAAATTACATCAATCGCATTCACCGAGCCTTGTGGTCCTAAGCTACGTGGCCCCCTAAAGTTCTTCCCAATGGCTGTCCATAACTGACTGCAAAGGATTGTGGTGGGACCTTCTGTTTCGTCACCTGGTCGGCAGACTCGGTACCCAGCAATAGCGTGTGATGGGCGCATCTCCGACACTCGGTGATATTCTCGTGACTTCTACGAACTTCTCCTCGTGTGATGGACTCCTCCTGGCATTCTTCAAAAACTCTCAGCAGCAGGTCATTCGATTTGCATATCCCCCCCACACGCGACAGTTTTTCTCCTTAAAACTCCTCAAATAGTATTCAAAACTCTAGAATTTCCGAACAATGCCCAAGTAGTTTTTTCACTCTGCTCTTTTTACACAGATCCTTTACTGGCAATGCCAAATGTTATGCTGAACCAATGCATTTCATAGCTGCTCTTTACCAATAGGGCGTTCAAAGGTATTCAGCTATATTTCCCTTAATCAATCTGACCTGACCTGACTCAACCTTCATCTTCGTACCTAACACGCTGCAGAGCTGCTAAGCTTCTTGTTCGTGTGGCGGGAGGTGAACAAACGACAAAATGCCCATCGGTAATGTGGAGTTGCCTATTACTTTCGCCTAAGTGACTAAATTTTGACCAGCCATAGGGTCGTCGCATGGTGTAGTTGCTAAGATAGTGGCTCGTCGGTCTGGCATCTTATGAAGCAAAGTCGTTTCACATGAACTTCACATATTAAAACCATATTTTGCGTTTGACAAGAGGTTGTGAGTTTCCAAACAGGGCATAAACTCCTTTTGGATGATATTTTCCATAATCTTGCAGCATATGGAGGTCAGACTTGCAGGTCCTTAGCTGGTCCCAAACAAGCGACTACCGCTTTTGTGAAATGGTGTAATGTGGGCTGTTTCCCAGTCTGTTGTGATATTTCTGCCTGGTAGAAGCGCTGAACCAACACGTGGGCCAGGTCAAGGCACTGCAAACGGTACTCGGATTGCACTCCCGTAGGAAATGTCAAACATGAGGAGGGTGTGGTGGCACAAATAGGGACAGCTTGGGCTGCCAGAGCCACTTCACCCGATCCCGTCTGCGGTCTTCTTCACCCAGTCTTGATACCGGACACAAGAAGGCGAGGATCGAGAGAGTTCGGTAGATGCCGCTCAAGTTTACCACCAATTAACTCTAATTAACGCGCAAGTTACTGTCCTTGCACCACCTTGTTGTGAAGCATACAGTAGACATAATCGAAACTGATATTCGAACTGTCAGGAAGACTTCTCGTATCCAAAGATTGCTGGCACATAATGAATAGTCATTTGGCCAGCTCTCTTGCATGTTCAGTTTTGCTGGATCTACATCCAAACCGGGAGAGTTGCAATCCTTCGGGTATTTTATTTCTTCCAAAATCGCTTATTTACAAAACAGAATATGCTAAATAATCGGCGCACCAATGGTCTCGTCAGTAGGCGAAATGCAGGAAATTTCTTTGGTGAAGACCGATCGAAATAACTTAGGAAAAACTTTGGTTTTGTTCGTACTTCCGGATATCCAGAAACCTTCATAATCCCTCTTAATAGGGATTGGTTTCCTGTTACTTGCGTCCTTTCGCAAGTAGCAGTATAACAACTTTGGATTTATAGCAGCTCGTATTCGAAGCGATGTCGCCTCTGCTTTGTTGTTCAAAGCGATCTTAATATGTCAAGGTCTCATTGTTTCCGAC